AATGAGACCGGCTGGAGGCTGGGGGAGGACCGTGCTGCATCCTCCCAGGGATGCGGCACCCGGCCAGGGCGGTGGCTGAGGAAGGCGGTAGTGAAGCCGTTGCTGCTGAGACTGGCGGGTCTGGCTGGGCAGGATGAGCCCAGGCGACGCCCTGGGGGCTGGGAGGAGCAGGGCTGCCTTCTGCTGACTTGAGGAAACTGGGCGGAGGGTGAGTAACCTGAAGACAAGTCTGAGAGGACAGCGAGACATGAGCTGGAACACCAGCCGCCTCCGGCTCGGGGCTCCCGCCAAAGGAGAAGGGTAAGTACAGGGGTCTCTACCAGGGCTCCCTACAGGCCCAAACCAACCAGGGGTCAAGCCCCGGCAGTAGCTCGAGCGAGCGAGTGCGCCCTCTCCTGGAGGGGTGAGGAAACCTCATCCTCACAGGCCTGGTCCTGGGCGCTGGGTGAAATTACACTGCACTTTTTTGCAAGCTTCCCTCCCAGCATCTGGTGCGAGAAACTGCTCAGGACTTCGAACCAGGTCTGCCTTCCAGGTCTCAGCCGGTGGGGCTCTGCAGGAGGCAGGGCCCGTCTGCTTGGCCTTTGGGACGACCCAACCTGTGTGCTATCCACCCCAACGGGTAACAACTACACCAAAGACACCCACCTAGCACGCCAAGTTCGCAGAGCAGTGCTTCAGAATCCGCTGTGAGGGGAACATTTCATTCTTTAAAAAGTGTATATTTCTCACCAGGCTGGTGTGGCTCAGTGGTTGAGCGTCAACCTAGGAACCAAGAGGTCACTGTTCCGTTCCCGGTCAGGGCACATGCCCAGGTTGAAGGCTTGGTCCCCAGCATGGGAGATGGCCAATCAATGATTCTCTTTCATCACTGATGTTTCTATTGCTCTCTCTCCCTCTCTGAAATCAATTTAAAAAATTTTTAAAAATATTTCTCTTCTTGTTATTGGTAGTTCTGATCATTAAATTTTTTCCCATGGGGTCAAGCGGTACCTGAGTATATGATTGCAAGTGGAAAATAGGGGACAGAAATCAGATATTGGCAGTATTTCCATTTTCATTTGTGTGTGAATTTTTTAACATAAATGCGGGGACATGAAGCATTAATGCAAGTCAAACTGTTTCAGGAACAAGTTGCAGCGGTTTCACTTTATCACAATATAAATAAACCTGTTCATTTTTTCTGTTCAGTGCCAGCATTGGGATTGTTTTAAAAATAAATTTCTTACTGATGGCAGCCGCCTGGTGTCTGTAGCCTCCTCAGCGCACGACAGAGTCCCCCACTCACTGTGCGCTCCAGCTGAGCTGTCCTGCAGGAAGGCGCGCGGCCTTAATGTTGTCTGACTTCCCTGCTGTTACTGAATGTTTGCTATGAAGATACAAAGACCAAAAAATAGACATGGGAGCTGGGAGGTGGGGGGAGGGAAGCTCCAGAGAGGGGGACACAGGCCCCTTACCCACTGGGGCTGCAGAGAAGGGTAAGCAGCTGGAGGCTTCTAAGAAAGGTTTCCTCCGTGGTAAAAGGAGGAGGGAACACGAGGGGAGCCCCTTTTCCCGTCACACTTTCTTCCTGACTGAGAGGCTGTTGGGTGAGAACCTGGTGCTGGGAGCTAGGGCGGTCGTCTTGAGGGGAACATGGCAGACCCCGAGGGCATTAGTTATCTATGCTGTGCCACAAATTACCTAAAGCTCAGGCCTTAAAACAACAAACATTTCTCATCGCACACAGTTTCTGCGGATGGGGACCCAGAAGTGGCTTAGCCGGGTAGTCCCGGCTCGGGGTGTCTGACTCAGCAGGCAAGCTGGCAGCAAGGGTCGCAGACATGTCAAGGTCACTGGGTGGAAGAAGCCACTTCCAGACACACTGTCGTCACTGTGGGTGAGCATCAGTGCTCAGCTGGCTGCGGACGCAAGCTTCAGTGCCTCTCAGCAAACATTTCTCATCGCACACATTTTCTGTGGATGGGGACCCAGAAGTGGCTTAGCTGGGTAGTCCTGGCTCGGGGTGTCTGACTCAGCAGGCAAGCTGGCAGCAAGGGTTGCAGACATGTCAAGGTCACTGGGGTGGAAGAAGCCGCTTCCAGACACACTGTCGTCACTGTGGGTGGGCATCAGTGCTCAGCTGGCTGCGGACGCAAGCTTCAGTGCCTCCCCGTGCGGGCCTCTCCGTGGGGCGGCTCGCAAGATGACAGCGTGTTTTTCCCAGAATAGGAGATGCAAGGGGGTGGGGGGGAGAGAGAGGGGGATGAGGAGAGAGAGAGAGGAACACGAGGCAGTGTGAACTCAGGATGAAGCCATAGTCTTTGTATAACTTAATCTCAGAAGCGATGCCACCCCTTCTGCCGTATCCACAGCCCTCCCACATTTCACCAGGGCCAAGGCCACGCAGACCAACCCTGGTAAGCGGTGGAGGGGTGAATGCCAGAAGGTGGAGACCATCAAGGGCCAATTGGGAGAGTGGCTGCAAACTCCTGAGGGGAGCAGCCGAGGAAGAGCGAGCCTGGGTCCTGGAGAGATGGTTGAGCGACCACACCAGGCCCCACATCATTTGTCCCCTCCTGCTGTATCAGCTCATCGAATGTCCTTGTTGTTTAAGCCACTGTGCATTTGATATTTGCTGCTGAAAACCTCAGGACTAGTGCAAGGGCTATGAAATATTTCTAGAGGTGTGTAGAAATATTGAGAGGAACAAATAAAGTATGCCCTCTGCTTTTGGTAAAAACAAAAGAAGTACTTCATGGTATAGATAGCTTGTTATTATAGGTGAAGTAATTCTGATTCATGCAGATTCTGAAAAACTTAATCAGAAAAG